CTAAACACCCTCACTCTGGCACCCTCACTCTCCCCAGGGGCAAAGGAGGCCAGTCGGAAGGTCAGAAAAACATGCAATCTTTTCCTCTCCACCCCTCTGGGGAAGCACGGGGCCTTCATGCCTGGGGGAGACAATCGATCAAGTTAGGAAATGTGGGCGAGGATTAGATCCAGCTAACTTCCACACCCCCGACAGCTTGTCCCAAACAGCTCCAGGCTGAGATCTCCAAAGATATTAGCACTGCGATTGATTCCCCCCACCCTCACGAAAGTGCTTGTAAAATCAGCCTCAAAACTTAATGACTCTGCGTGTACCATCTAGGACTGGCTCTTCATAATATCTGGGGGAACCATGCAGACCAGTGTTATCTTCTAACCATTGTTCTCTAATACGGTGTTCTCTAAATCTGACACATCGTGAATTTTTACCTCAGTTATACCCTTGGAAACCGTGCTCTTAACTCACACGTTTACAGCCGTGTGCACACGCCACATACACGGCAGCATTTGATTTCGGCTAACGACGTCTATGCGACAGATATGGAGTGTTTTAAGAGCCAGCCTGACTGCGCATTATTCATCGCCATCCAGACAGAAGTCCTGTACTGGCAAGGTTAGGAAATTCGCAGAGGAACACAGATTTTCGCAGAAACTTCTTATTTGCAAAGGATTTTATGGACACTGAGACATCGGTCCAAGCCTATAAACGCCAGATAGAAGAGTAAAGACATGCAGATAGGATTGAAAGACATGCAGGTAGAAGTCTAGAATATCTATAGAGGATTTATATATGGGGGGGGGGGGGGGGATCTGGTACGTTGTGCCTGTAATCGGAAGGTCGGTGGTTCAAATCCTAGAGCTGACAGAGTGTTGCTGTGGGGCCCTTGAGCAAGGCCCTTAACTGCCAGTTGCTCCAAGGACCGTCTGGGTCTGCTTTCTCAATTGGATAAAATTGCCCGGTATGTAAATGTCATATCTTTAGGACATAGTTATATAGCTACTGCATTATTGCCCACATTCACGATATCATGTAGCTTATCGGGAGAAATAAGTATGACACGCAATATACAACAGACAGTGATTTCTCTTAGCCTTCCATTTTAATCCGTGGCCTTGTAAAAACAAAGATTAATGTTATTAAAACCTGATTATGGGTCTCTCAGAGAGCGATCTGATATAGAACCCCCCACCACCACCATGTGCACACAAATCTTAGTCGATGTCAATAAAGCAGGTTTCCAGGGACCGATCTGGCCAGGCGCTCCTCTGCTACTTCTAGGAAATTGGATTCTGGGACTTCGACGGGAAGCACACCGCGATGAAAATGGTCTCAGTTTCATTGGGGGCGGCCTGTTTCCTCATCGCGAATCAATACAGTCCATATCATCAATAGTACTTAAATTTCAATGAGAGAGAAGGCAAGAAAACCTGAAGCAATACTAACAAAAAAAAGCAGCACACAAACTGCAGCGGCCAGTTTATTAAGAGCAACTTAACGCAAACGGCCTGCTTCTCTAGACAGCCAATCACGTGGTTGCACAGAAAATGATGACATGGTCAAGCGGTTCATTCACTGTGCGTCTAAGGATCAGAACGGCTGAGATGCGATTCTGGACGTGGCGCGATTGTAGGTGATATTGGGGTTCCAGCATGTCAGGACCAGCTACCATTCTGGGATTTTCACACACTGCAGGGTCTAGAATTTACAGAGTGGTGCGATAAACAAAATAAGAACGGCAAGTTGGCGGTGTTTATGTGGCTGAAAACACCTTTTCAATGAGAGAGGTCAGAGAAAAATGGCAGTGGTGAATTGACAGTGGTGAATTGACAGTGGTGAGCAGAAGGGCTTCTCTAAACGTCACTGAACGACTCAACCAACTTTAATGTGATTCTGGAAGCAGAACTGGGTATTAGCTGGCAGCCACTGAGCATAAATCTCGGGTGTCCACTGAAATGCCAGCAGAAATGGTCCTTACTCAAGCAAGACCTGATGAAGACAACGCAGAGGTTGCCCCTGGCGTGCCTGCCTCACAACTGCAGAGACACATCCCCGTCTCTGCCACTGTCCGTTTGAATTAAAAAAAGGAGCTTTGGAGAAAAAGACACAAACAAACACCCGCAGCTCCGACCTTCCCCACGGAAAGCAGAGCGAGTCGTTGCAGTGCTTCAAGGCAGTGTCTCTCAACACAGTCCTTGGTGATGCCCAGACAGTCCACATTTTAGCTCTCTCCCAGCTCCCAACACACACCGGTACCAGGTGCTCGGTGTTTCTGATTGGCTGGGACCAAGGTGGGAGCGAAAACATGGACTGTCTGCTAGGTCCTCAAGGACTGGGTTGTGAAACACTGGTGTAAGGCGGGTTAGGTGGCTCCAGTGACATTCATCATGCAATCGACTGAGCGATCCATGCTGGCTACGTGTCACCGTGCTTGTGGTGCCATTACTTCCATAAACTACAACCAGCACCAGAGGGATTTATCGACTGGGAGGCGGCCGGCCATCGTGCCCCAGAGTGCAGAGATGGATAGCCCCCGGTGAGGAAGGTTAGCTCCCGAAGACCTGACTTAAATTACTCCTCATTAAAATTCTCTCATGCTACTGCTTTATCTCACCGCCCTCTGTCAACCCATCAGCTCCAAATAACCCTGATTAAACACAGAAATGCACGCAGATCCAGGGATTCAAATTCATTTGCATTAATTGTATGCAACCGTTTTCAACATTACATAATACTTCTGTTTGTAAGACAAAGCAAATTGCTGGATTTGTTGGATCAGTGTTAGGACATCAATGAAATATTTGTAAACTCAATGAAGAGTCTCGCATTTCCATGGCATTGATCAATTGCAGCCCTTAATCGCCGGGTAATGATTACTCAACCATGACAAGGAAATGCCCCGATATCAATATTGTTATGAAACTTCTTTCCAAGGAAAGTCTTGCATCCCAGCTGACCGTCTTCATAGTAATGAGGTTTTTTTTTTACCGGTTCGTTGGTCCACAGTTGCAGATGGTTGGGTGACTAAGCAACGTGGCGGAAGATTCTGAGGGCTTGCGGGTCACGCCGCAGAATCTCACAGGAAACGGGGACCGAGTGTAAATCGCAGCGCGAGTCAGCGGCATTAGCGAGAAACGGCCGCGTGCCCGGCACCTCGATGCCGAGCGGATTTGAGAGAAATAACTATGAGCATCTGCGATAAAAAATGAGTATGGTGGATATGGGAAAACAGCCCACATGCGAGAGAGAGAGAGAGAGAGAGAGAGAAACACAGAGAGAGAGAGAATAGGAGAGCGAGCTCCCATTCTGGGATTCTTCTGAACGTCAGATCTCACAATCACGCAGGTCCCACACGTTCCAGCCCTGGCATGTGAGAGAAAGGCACGCCGATGGACGGAACTCCAATCATGGATGGAGCTCTCAGATGCGTCCTTAAGGATGGATGAGTTCTGAACCCCTTAGGTTTGGCTCACGTCTGGTTCGGCAGATCTGCTCTGGTTCTTACGGTCTGAATTTTAGATGTTAAAATATTGAGAAGCACCTGACTGCGTACTGAAGCATCTCATCACATCAAATAGCGAAAGTAAAGGAGGACAGAAACTGAACAAGCATCAGCACAGTGACTGGTCCAGAAGGCCCAGGTTTTAGCTACACTGGCTTTCCCTGGGGGGTGGGGTGAAGTGGGGAGGGGGGGGGGGGGGGCGGCGTATAGCTGTGCATAACCATCAGGGGAGCAGCCGTGCAGCAAACACAAGCTCAAGCTGCCTTCAGGTCTCAGATCTCCACCTTCAGGCTCAGTCCTGCGGCATCACATTTGGACCCATATGCCGCCATATGCTCCCCCCACACCAAGCAACACTAGACCCACCCACCCACACACGTGCGCAGCTCGTAGTAACCCACACGCCAGGCAATAAGAAATACACACATTAACCAGTACTAACCCACATATGCGAACTTGTAGTAACTCATATGGCTGCCTTTACTAACCCACACACAATACAGTACCATTCGATACACCGTAAGGTACTGACCCGTACACCCTATGGCAGTGATTCCCGACCGGCCCCTGGGGGAATCCCACACAGTCCATATTTTGGTTCAGCACAATCAGGCAATTGAGAGCCACAAAGTACAGCTGTGCTTGGAGCTGCGAGGGAGCAAAAATGTCTGGGGTTGCCTGAGGATTGGATTGGGAAACACCTCTATATGGTATTAACCCACACGCCATACAGAGCTGACCCAACCACAATACGGTACTGACCCAACCATAATACGTACCATAGTCAAATACAGTATGGAAATAACCCAGCCACAATACGGTACTAACGCAAATATAATGCGCAAAACGGTACTAACGCTAATATAATACGCAATACAGTACTAAAGCAAATATAATACGCAATATGGTACTAACGCAAATATAATACGCAATACGGTACTAATGCAAATATAATACGCAATACGGTACTAATGCAAATATAATACGCAATACGGTACTAATGCAAATATAATACGCAATACGGTACTAACGCAAATATAATACGCAATACGGTACTAATGCAAATATAATATGCAATACGGTACTAATGCAAATATAATATGCAATTTCGGTACTAACGCAAATATAATATACAATATGGACACCCGCACACAGTAGGGTGAAAAGGAAAATGCCATAATCTAGTACACGCCATATAGTACTAATCCACAAACCGTATGGTACCAACTCAAACCCCACATGGTACAGCAGTAGCTCAGCAGTACTCATGAAGGTTCTGAGTCAGCCCTCGTGATGAGTTTGCGTTAAATGGAGGCTGAGAGCACACTCACGCAGAGATGAGAGCTCTCCTCTTTCACACCCTTTACAACCTCTTTAAATTAAAAGACACGGAAATGACACGTCTAACCGACTCACGGCATTCCCGTGGCAAATGGAGCCTTAACGCCACCAGGTGGGGGGGAGATGGATTTGGGGGTAACAGAGTGGCCGGAGGACTCACGGCGGAGAAGTTCTGCGGGCCGCACGGCTCGCCGCGGAATTTGCAGTAGAGCAGCATGTCGTCCAGCTGGTGACCCAGCCGGTCCATGAACTCCAAGATGGTGCCCTCGAAGTGCCGGGGCGGCAGGAAGAGGCGGAAGTCAGAGAGCTTCCGGAACCAGGCCAGCCGCTCGTCGTGCAGCAGGTCCACCACCATGGGCCGCGTGGTCCGGTTGGCCAGTAGGAGGCCCAGCCAGTGTCCGGCGAAGTATAAGTCACTCTTGGAGAGGTGCTGGAAGCGCACCGGGTTGTTGTTGCACACGGTGACAGCAGGGAACGGCAGCTCCTTGGCCCACTCCATGTGCACCTTGGTATAGGTGGGGAAGGAGAGCCAGTGCAGGAGACGGTTGGAGGACCAGGAGAGGAGCAGCCCCAGGGAGGCGCACAGCGCCAGGAGCCAGAAGGCGCGGCGGCCCAGGGAGGCCCCGGCGGAGCAGACCTGCCGCAGGCCGTGCAGCCGTGTCCTGGACAACTGGGCTGGTGGCCCACTTCCCGGGCGACGCGGGCGGCGACAGCGCCTCCCCCCGGACGGGGCGCCCGCCTCGCCACCGTGCCCCTCCTGTGCCATGGCTGCCCGCAGAGCACCTAGTGCAGCGGCGACGGCGTCATCCCTCAGCCAGGCCTGCGGGTCGGGGGCCCACATGAATCTCCGGGGGGCCCCGGTGTCCGGCACGCCCCCTCGCCCGCCGACCGTCCCCCCGGCACATTCACGCCCCCAAACCTATGGCCCCCAAACTCCCCCTGATCAACAAGCTTCAACGGACAAAAGGGTTCCGATTCCGGGAGCTCCGCGTCCTCTGCCCCCCCCCCCCCTCTCGGTCCTCTTCTCCAAAGGGGGGTCCGCGGCGCCCTCACATGTCCAGGAGGAGAAGCCCCCCCTTTACCCGGGAGGGAAACCTTGGCCCGAGGCTCCCAGCTGCTACTGCTCTCGCCGTGGAGCGAGAGTGGTGTGTCAAGCGGAGTAAGAGCGAGAGATAAGAAGGGGATAGAGAGAGAGAGAGAGAGAGAGAGAGAGAGAGTAAAACAGGGAAAGGGAGCAGACTGAGAAGGCAGATCCAGTCACAGGGCAGGGGAGCAAGAATAATACCCCCCCACAAGCCCCGGCAGAGTCCTCCCGCTGGACGGCTGCTCAGGGTCCCGTGTTCTGAGTCCCAGCCCGCTGGACCCGTGGATCAACCCCCGGTGCCAGGAGGACCGGGATCCCGTGCCACATTCACGCTGGCACCGGTAACTGGAGCCTCTGCGCCTCGTTGACCACCCCCCCTCCTCTGCCTGTCCTCTCGGCTAATCAGCGCCGGCTCTTCAGTCGGATCCGCTCAGCGACACTTCCTCCTCCTTCTGTTTATCACTGCCACCCCTCCCACCCCCACCTCTTTACCCAAGAGCCCCCGAGGCAACAGACGGTGCCCTCTCCTCTGGGCGGCCAGGAACTATCCCCCCGACAGGAAGGAGAACCTTGTGTGTGTGTGTGTGTGCACGCTCACTCGCTCGTGCCGGTGAGTCAACCTGCTACCAGCGGGAAACTCGTCCCAAACCGTCCGGACTGCCGCACTCTCTCTGTCCCTCTCCCCGGTTCCCCAGTCTTGGGTTCCGCTTCTTGTCCTCTTGTTCTTTTTATTTATTTTTTTGTGTTTTCTAAAAATATCCTCAGAGTGCTCGCTGTCACGTCGGTTCTGCTCAGCATAGCCGCAGCCGGACCCCCTCAGTCACCCCCCCAACAGCTGCTGCGATCCCCCCGCCTCTTCAGGGAGCGTATCGCTGGAGTCCGTCCGCTCCCTCCCTCCCTCCCTCCCTCCTCCTCCCTCCTCCCCGACCCACGCGGGCTCTCTGTCCTCACACCGAGCCGTGGCTCTGAGCGCCGCTGGATCAGAATCCGCCCGCGAAGAGCGCGGAGGAAAACACCCTAGATCCAGCAGCGGCAAGTTAGCGCGTCCATGCCCCGCGCCAGACTGGCACCCTGTCAGGCAGCAAGCGAGTGAAAGAGACGGAGAGTGAGAGAGAGAGAGAGAGAGAGAGAGAGGGAGAGTGAGAGAGACAGGCTGCATTTCCTCTTGGACTTTCTCTCCATCTCATATCTCCCCCCCAGCCGGTCTCTCTTACACACACACACAGTTTGGGCATAATGTGTGAGCTCAGCATTTTAATTTCCATCAGTTATTCTAGTCGCACACCTAGGAAACAGATAACCAGACTTTAGGGAAATTAAGATGGGAAGAGAGAGGGATTGTTTGGGTTTTGGAGAGGGGGGTAGAAATTAGAGTGATTAACTGGCAGTTATCTCAAGGAAATCAGCACGAGCCAGTGTTTGGCAATTTCAATTATGGCAATATAAAAAATTATGACGTGTTCCACCCCGGCATCGGCAGCAAACTTCAGCGGGAAGGGGTTTTCGAAAGGCTACGGTTGCTGTTTTGTGTTATGGGTAACGATTTGTGACATTTGTGACATTTCCGTATTATTCTTCCCCTGCAGAACGTGACAAAATCGAAACAGGCACTTGAAGGAGAAGCGACAACTGGGGCTGTCAGGTTTTTTTAACCACATTTCCCTTCTTCCTAAATAATAAGACAGGCTGAACAAACATATAGACTAAGTGAGAAGAACACTAAACCAACTCAGCTCAACAGCACAGAACTGTGTGTTGCAGTACTGTGTGCACAAAGGGCATAGAGAATCCATCATTCCATAACCTGCATAAAAGTTTGATTAAAAGCAGGCCAGACCGCTATTCTTGTTCTTGGGGGCAATTATGTATCTTGTCTCTCTATTAAATAGCTGCCAATAATTTAAAGGTCAACAAACTTCTTTCAAAGTTAATTTGCTTATCTGACCCAGCTCACGATTTTCAGTGTCACGTCCGCCTGCTCAGTGATATTTATTTCAGTTATTTGCATTTAATCACCTTCTTCAAGGGGGCAGTGGAAGTTTTGTTCCGTTTCGGTCGCCCAACTGTTGTGTTTGAAACCCACCATCTGTTGCAGAGAACGCATCGTGGTTATTAAAAAAATCTATGCGTCTTTCACATATGGGTCTATGTTTCAGTTGTACTTCTTGGGATCAGGAGAGAAAAGCTTTAAAGGGGACTTTCACAAGGCAGGTAAAAATAATTTTCTCCATCGCCTCCTGCAAGTGGCAAGTGCTTTCTGCCACACTGGTTTTCCAACTATTACGAACGACAAACATCATCTCACTGTGTCGACTGTCATAACGAGCCTTCTGATTGGCTCCCGGCTGGACGCCGTCCTGTGACACACCTGCCGCGACACAACAGAAAGAAAGACCTGTAGTCACATTGTGGGAGAACTAAGCGCCCAGGTGCTGCTGCGGAGCAACGAGGCCGTCGGCGAGGAGAAAGCGCCCTGAGGTCGAATCAACATAAATATGCGATTAGCAGCCAATTAGCAGAAGTAATTAGCAGTCAACGGGGCAGCAGATAAGGATGAATGGTGAAACTCCACCCCCCCGCTGAGCTTTCAATGGCAAAAAGGGACTTGGGTTTGGGGGGGGGGGGGGGGCGAGAGCAAGGAGGGGGGACAGATTAAAATTTCCCCCAAGCCCATATTCATGAAACCCCAGCAGCAGACGTGCAGAAGGGGCCCTCTTGCGCAGTTTAATGGCATATCCTTGGTCACTACTACAAGGTGTCATAAGGGCTAAAATTGAAGGGAAAAAATGTGCAAACCCCCCCCAGTGTCAGGCTCCTTTGATGCGAGGGCTAGCAAGGGTAGCTATTCTTTTAAAACCTCAATGTAAATCTCTCAAGAGGCTGAGACTGACTGTACTAAGATACACTGAAAGCAGGGAGGAGATACGACGACGACGACGACAGCCTGAAGCCCAACCTACGCCCAGAAACAGGAAACGACACCTTCGGCAAACAATCGATTTCCCCAATCTTTTCTTTAAATAAGATTTTTTTTTTTCCCCCTCCATCCCGGTGCCGCCGTCTGGCAGACATGTCGCCTGCGGGTCGGAGTCGTCATTCCGGGGACGTGAAATTCCCAAGCGAATTGGCAGGCCAGCCGGTCCGGACGCTGAGAAAATGGTTTTTAGAGCAGAAATCCCATCCAGGTGCTTTTTATAGGTCTGCCATCATTGGTGGGGGTTGTCAGTAGGAGAGCTCAGGATAGAGCCCCTGGAGCACATTTGGACATTTCTGGAGGACAGGAAGTCCATGATGTCCTGATTGGACTCCACCATCTCCCGTGTCCTCATTATGACACACTTGTTATGACACGCTCGTTATGACACGCTCGTTAAGACACGCTCGTTATGACACGCTCGTTATGACACAAGCTGAGGGAACGTGTAGCTCACGTTCTCCCGCGTTTCCGAGAGAGCAGCTCTGACTCTACCTCAGAAAAATATAAAAATACATCTGCACACCACAGTGGTCCCCCCCCC